TGCAACAATTTTGCCAGTGGCCAAAAAATAAGATTCATTTGAGTCCGGCTTGGAGCGCAGAAACAAAGAGAAATAAAAAGCGAAAAGTGCGGGGGTGTGAGAAATGGCAGAAAGGGTGCGAGAGTAAGGTGACACATTCCTCAAATAGTCGCAAGTGGCTGGTGCTGCATTCACAGCACTCCCAGTGCTTGTTGACTTTTGCCTTTGTTTCTGCTTTGTTTTATTTTTTTTGCTGCTGCTGCTCCTGGGGAAATTATCATTTTTCAATGCCATAAAAGCAGGAGCACCGCAGGCGTCGACTAGCAACAATATCTCAGCATTTTGCAGGGGCATTTTTCAGAGCATTTTTACCGTCTGTACCCCAGCCATTTTGCAGTGCAATCATATCGGGATCAGCATTGTAAATTGCCAAGAGACTCCCTCCATTCGCATATTTCTTTATTTCCCGCACCCCAAACGAAAACAGATTTTTGATAAATGAGAAAATGTCTTTTTCCTCTGCCCCGAAACAAGTGCAGGAAAAAGAGTGGGAAATGGATGGGCAGGACACCCGCAACTTGTAGAATTTGATTGTCTTGGCTGGGCGAAAGTTAAACATTATTTCCTTATTTATTTCCCCTCGGAAAAAGTCTCGGGGAAATGAGCGTAACCGGCACCGAAAAACCCTTTACACGCATTTCCTTTCGCTTTTCCTTTCCTTGCCCTGCCATTCGATGGATGTTTTTTTTCTGCTAACGTTCTGGTTCTGGTTGTGCCTTTTGTTGCACGAATAAAACATAAATCTGCTTTGTCGCCAAGCATCCGGTTTTTGTACTCTCCCAAAAAAGTGTATACTTCCTTCTGGAACTGTGCTTTCGCCTCTGTTTGTGTTTGTGCACAGTTTGACAAGCACTGAGTGCCCCCCTTCTGTTCTCCTCATGGCCCTTGGAATTGCTTAACTTTTTCTGTGTCCCCTACCCTGTCATTTCTGGCCCGGCCTTCCAGCATCTTTTTGCAAATGAGATTTCGTTCAGTTTTGTGCTGTGATAAATTGTTGATGGCTTGAATGTTGAATGTGTTTACACGGATAAGGGCCTGTGTGTGTGTGTGTGTGTGTGGAATGTTAGAGGGGTGGTCGTGGATTGGTTTGGCATTTCGCTTGTTATGAAATTCTACCCCCCCAACAGCTTGAGTGAGGAATTTCTCGCTCGTTTCCCTTATTCTAGATTTCCTTCTTAGATTTTTTGCTTATATTTTCCTTTACTTTTGCCACTTCCTTTTCGAATTTTCTTTTACATTTTCCCCAATATTTGCATCTCTCTGCCTCTTATTTGTGGCGTTCCTTTCCCCCTTATTTTTGGGGTTCATTGCCTTTATTTTTTAGGTTCCTTGCTTCCATTTTTTTGGGGTTTCATTGCCTCTATTTTGGCCTGGAGTTTGCTTCGTTTTAATCCATTTGAATGAACCTAATATGGAAATTATTCGTTGTTCCTGTGCCTCCTTTTAATCCATTTCAATGAACTCAATATGGAAATTACTCAGAGGAATGTGTGTGTGTGTGTGTGTGTGTGTGGCAAGCAGCTGATACGATGCGGGATTCAATGACCTTTAAACACGGGGAGAAACCTTCAAAGATTGCAGCCGAATAATCTACAAATACCTGCAAAAATCATCAAAGAAAACCTGCAAAGATTTTGGGCCATTTTTGTAAAGTATCTCAATTAACTTCAAACTTAAAGGTTATCTTCAACCTCAGTGATTTTTACGTGTTGCAAAAGTTTTCGCAATGATTCCCGCACCCCTTCCGCCGCTCCACGTAACTAATGATAATTATACTCCAAAGCAAAAAGATAATTATGCAAAAAGGTAGTCGAACGGTGAGGTGCAGGGCAACATTAAATGCAGAATTTCTAATGAAAATATGCAAATGATTAAGCAGCTGAGAGAGCTGGGAGTCAGGCAGCAGAATTGTGTTCCAGTGTTGGTCAGTCCGTTGGAAGTAATTGTTGAAATTATGCGCTAATATTTTGCACAAAACAGGAAAGGGAGTGAGTGTGGAGTAGTGCGAGTTCATTTAGCCATTAACTAAGCCAAAAACTAAAATCCAATTAAAAGTTAAACGCCACAAAGGCAGCGCCAGAAAAAAAAGGTTGAGGTTTTAAGGATGAAAACTTGAAATGTTGAACATTTGGTCAAGTTGAAGGCTCCTCCACCCACGCGCTGAGGAAGGACCCAGCGAGGTTGGCATATTATAAATAACATTTGAACACGCAAACAGTTTGTGGCAGGTGGCACATGCAGGCAGCTCTTTCGCCCCCCCATACACCAGAACGAGTTAACGAAGCCATTGGCCGCCCGCCGCCAGTCGCCTGAGGCAGGCAAAAGTGTTGCGTGCCCGAAAACTCTTTTGGACCATAGGAGAAAAGTTTTCCGGTGGAAAATACAGTAAGGAACTTTGATTAAGTTTTCCATCGACTTAAAGTTTTTTCACCTCTCCACCTTTTCAGAGACTCTCTCCAACTGCGAGGCGGCGAAAATTAACTAACCCACGTAGAAAGAGATGGAAAGATAGCTAGAGAGAGAGAGAGAGAGAGATAGAGAGAGAGAGCGAGAGCGAGCATAGACGTGCTTGGGTTCCGTAAGAAATGAAGCAACCCGCCTAAGTATGCTATAGGAAATGCTCTGGCCGCAAGGCACGTGCTTGCTCCTTCAACGCATTTAAATGAGTGTGAAAGAGAGGCCGAAATTAGATAGAGAAGTGGGAAAAGAGAGGCAGGAAAGTAGGGCGCCAGAAAGGGTGGTGGAATGTGGGCTGAAATAAATAGCGCCGAACAACCCGCCTTTATGATTATTGTCTTAAAATTAATCAAATTGTGTGTCGTCTCTAGCATGGTGCAAAAGTTTATCTAGAGGGTGTGTGGGGTTGGGCTGGGGCTAATAGATTTTGCCAACAGGAAATGGCTTCAACGCTTCGGCGCCTCTTGCTCGAAACATTCAGCTGGCTACTCCTGCTCTTTGCTGGCTCTCGCCCATCAGCCTCCTCCTATGCTCCGCCGCCTTGTGCCCATCATCCAGCTACCTCCTCTCTGCCTTGATCTGCCACTTGGCCAACCTTCCTTTTTGCTGTCTCTTTGCTTTTGTTTTGCGTTTGTGTTTTGCATTTAATTGATATCCACAGCCGCCATCCTATTGCTAGGCCACATCCTGTCCCTTATTCCAGTCGCATTTCGTGCACCCCTTTTATCCATTTCGCCCCGTCTCCGCCCCACAATTTCCAATTTTATTGGCAAAACTTTGATACTTTTGTGGATTTCGTGGATTAATTAAATTACAGGCAATATTTGTTATGCACAGGACATCGCCTGGACCCAAGGATTTGTCTAGCGGAAACTGAAACAAATTGTTTTGGCGTGTGAAAGTTTCTGGCGCACGCAAGAATGAGAGAAGTTTTTGTGGGCTTTGTGGTTGGTGGCTTGCCACACCATGCCCACACTGCTGCTCATGCTGCTTTTGCTGTGGTGTCCCATATTTGACAGTTTCCTTTATTTTGTGGCTGATTTGTCGTTTGATATGGCCAAGACACATTTGCGGCTAAGCATCACACCTGCGGGTTTCAATCGATGCTTGGTTTTGCTTGAGGAAATCGGATCAGCGGCGTACAAAGGAAAGCCACGCGTCATTTGCATAAGGCGGTGCTGTGGCACTTTATGAAATGTCAGGCAGCTCCTGCCTCTCTGCCCCTCTGTCTCTCTGTGTCGCCTGCTAACCAACTTTAAAACATTTTCCTCACCACATTGACAGCCTCCGCTTCCTTCGCTGTCAAACGTCAACCGCCATTTTATACAATTTTTAAATGTATATCTATGGAGGATAAAAATAAAATGGAAATGTGAGCAAAAAGTGTGGTAAATGTATGGAAAAAGTGAGGCAAAATATCGGTGGAAAGTGGTGTAGTATGCAGGGAAAATATCGGAGGGACAAGTGTTGTGTAGGGGGAAAAAGTGAGGAAAAATATCTGTGGACAAAAAGTGAGGCAAAATGTCAGAGTGCAAAAAAGAAGCAACAAAAAGTTGGAGCACATTTTTCAACTGTCATCGGTTTAAGCTGATGAAAATTGCCGACAGTCATGCCACAGCACACACACAAAAACCCTGCCCATACCATTAGGGTTACTCGTCGCTGCTGCTGCTGCTGCTTCATTTGCCATCATTCGGCAGCCATCATCGTCAATAATATGACATGAGTACTCCTCCAGCTACCGACTTGCTTCCTGCTGCTGCCACCAACTTTGTCCCTTTTCATCTTTTGGGTGCCCTGCTGTTGCCCCTCTTCCTGCTCCCTCCGCTCTTGTTGTTGATTTCTCATCATATTTTCTAGCTTCGTTTTTTTTTCTATTTTATTTTTTGATTTAGTGCTGGAAATTGTTTTGCTGGGCTTCTCCACCTCCACCCTCCCAAACTTCCGCTTTTTTGCCTCACTAATGGTTGTGTCTTTTGGGGGGAGGGAGGTCCTTGTGGTGTCCTGTGGTGTTCTAGCAGTTGCCCACAGTTTGTATTTGTGTTTTTATTTGCTCTACTGATTATGATGCTATTTTTGACACTCGATAAAGTCAATAAACACACCAAATTGTTCCGCTAAATAATGGTTCTGCGTTTATGGGTTGATAGATTTAGTGGGGATGCGCGGTGTGGGGTCTTATAGCTCATAGAAAATGCATTCATCTTGTACATAATACAAGTATTGAAAGCTCCCTGAATCTCCAAGCTTTTCCTTCTATTATTACCTCTATTGACTCCCCATTTGACTCCACCACTGTCCTTGCAGATGGCAATCATCATCATCATTTTGATTCTCTGCTGCTGCCTGGGGCTGGTCATTTATTTAAGTGCCGGCTTTTTGGCTTTATTGTTTAACTGCTCGCTTGATTCACCGATTTCTTTGCCGCAGCCATAAATCAATTTATTTATATATATATTTATATCCCCCCATTTTTCTCTCTCTCTCTCTCTCTCTTTTTGCAGAAGGAAAATTGAACAGAAATCGGAACAATCCAATCGGAACACAAATCTTGAAACCAAAGTCCATTGCGGTTCCGCCAATTAATATTGATGGTGCGTTGAGTTTTTTGTATATCCTTTAACATAAATATTCCTTACCGGTTTTTAAAATATTTTTTCTGGTGGGGTTTTTGTTTTTCTTTTCGTTTGTTTTTAAATGCATTTTTTCTTTAATAAATTGTAGTTTATTTGCTCATAAAATTCAATTATATTTAAATAAGCAATACAAATGCCAGCCGTCAAATGAAAAATGCGAGGCAAGCATTTAATTCATTTTTATAGTTGTTCCGGAAATAGAGCAAAATATTTATCGAAAAGAATTTTTGGATATAGAACAAATTATTTAACTGAAATTAGTTCTCATAAAAAAGTGGCAATAAAATTGGTTTCTGTAGAGAATTATATTATTAATATTGAAAGTAATGTGAAAGAATTTATGCAGCTGTGAAATCAACGATTTTTTTGTTAGAAGAACAAATGGAAAAATATTAAAGTGTACATTCCCAATGGCCAAACAAATTATAAATAATTCATGGTAATTCGTTGAATTACAAGTCCGCTTTATTGGAGATTTGTGATTGTGATGCTGAACACTGTGAAGGGAACGCTGAGAAGGGAACACTGTAAAGGGAACACTAAGAAGGGAAACCATTAAAGACAGCTCTGTTATGAAACACACGGGACACTGTTAAGCGATCACTGTAAACCCTTATGTAAAATGCAAATCCTGCATCGAATTTTCAGCATTTCTGTGTTTAAAAAAACCTTTATTTGAGCAAGCATTAAATATTTAATTGAAGTTAAAATTTAAATTTAATTCTTAAAAGCTTTAAGCTTTTAACTCCAATCCCATTTGAAATCCTTATCTTTATTCTCTGTTTATACTTGAATTATTTAACAAAATTCAAGCTTAAATTTAACATTTTCTTCAGAAATTTGCGCTCCATTTGAGTCGATAAAAAAGCAATGCATAAAACTAGCCAATGTTGAATGCTGCTTCTCCATTTGTATGTAGACTTTTGGGACGCACTGTTGTGTGTGTGTTTGTTCCATTTTAAATGCAGTTTGTTGAACTTTCTTTCGATGTGCAATTTGTATTACTAATGCGGAGCGCAAACAAAGATGAGCTGCAGGAAAAAACTAGAAGGAGAAAACAGAAGAGAAGCAGCAGCAGAAAATGGGTGGAAAAAATAGGAGCAGCAGTAGAAAATGGGTGAAAAAAGAGCAGAATGAAAAAATAGGAGCAGAGCAGAGCTAAAAGAAAGAAGCAAAATGGCAGCAATGGCCAATGAGTCGAATGATTCGGGCAATTGGAATTCCAAAGGAGCAAATAGGACCCACACACATAGCCCCCATTCTCCCTCTCTCCTGTGTGTGTGCTAGATTGCCTTTCGGTTTGAGGCGGCTGCAAGATGCCCCGTAATAATTCACTTCTCTCTGGCCCTAAGAGGCGAGGCAGGAAGAAAAGGCTTAAATATTCAACACAAGTCGGAGACCAGGAAGACATTTCAAGAGTCATGTGGTGGCAGGAGCAGGAGCAGGAGCAGGCAGTAGGAGGAACCATCAGTGGCAGCAGCTGTAAAGTTTAGTTTGAGTGCAACACCAACAACATCGACGACGACAGACCCAGCCCCTAAATGCGCTCATGTGCAAAAATGCCATTGTTTTGGATTTGGTCGTAAACAAAGCGTCGAATGAAAGCAAAGGAAAAAACCTAAACTAAAGGAAGTGAAATTCTTGCCTTTACTTTTTACACCGAAGGTATGTAAGGTAGGCAAAGAGGCATGTGGCGTGCGGCATACACAAGTGTAAAGCAACAAAACGGAAGCCAGAGACTAGAACACACAGCAAATACGAGTAAGTAAAAAGGGCTTCAGGAAAAAATATTGCAAGCAAAATATTAGACATGGGCAATGATCTGAAGGGAGAAAATGGTAGTTGGAATTGTCCTTGGTTTCGTTTGGTTATGGGATTTAATTGAACTTTATATAAGGTAAATAGTTGCTTAAAAATCAGTCCTTAAATTACCAATTTTCCTTTTAAAAAGTCACTTAAAATGTAATTTCTGTTTAGCCTTAAACAGCATTAATTTTAACCATTTCAAAGTGTTTATTTCACACGAAATTATAGCGCATTATTAGTCCCAACTCTGCAACGCTTTCTTGCTGCAAATTGTTATACTTTTCCCTTGACTTTCGTTGACCTAGTCAAAAACTTTCATCTAAAACAGCTAAAAACCTTCTAAGGCACAGTCCTAAATCTCTCGCGAAGAAACTTTCCTTTTAATCCTAGTCCTAAACTTGTTTTAAGACCCCAGATATGCGTCACACACTTTGTGCCTGCATTTTACAGGGTATGCATTCAAGCAACAATAGCAGCAACAACAATAGATGTTCAGCACTTGAGAGAACACCCTTTCCACCCACCTTTCACACACAGAGAGATGGACTTTCAAAAAAGAAGAACATGGGGGGAAAGACTTTCCATTTGGGGCAGGAGACTGGGAATAGTGTGACGAACGGGCGGCAGGACTTTTCTACATCCTTTTTAGTTCTGTCTCGTTTTGCTTGAGGAAAACGTCTTCCTATTGGTTTTTTGGGTGTCCTTGCTTTTGCTTTCAATGTGCGTGGCGCAAGAGCAAGGACTGTGAGCAGAAGGGGGAGCACTGTGGTGTGGTGGGGACACTGTTGGACGCTGCCACAAATGGCGTCACATGCTAAAAGCCCAAATAGCAACAGCCACAACAGCAGCAGCAGCAGCAACAACCATCTGAAAAATGTGGGGACTTGCAATTCCATTGCAAAAACTTTTGAAATGCCAAGAAGATGGTTGAAGAAGGTGAGCGGACAGCGGCAACAGGGGTATGTCTGCCGAAAGGACATACACAAGTCATAAAATACACAGAACACCCAACAAGGCAAACAGCAGAAAGGACAATACAGGACGCACAGAGACACATTCAAGTCTTTGGGTACAGTTGAGTGCACACAATGTACCCACCCCCTCAAGTCGGAAAAATGGTAAGGATGGGTGACTGGTGTTTTGTTGTGGCTGTAGTTTTCTCTCGGCTGCTCGTTTCCGGTTTCATTGCAGTCACATTTTTGGCATATGTCACCACACACACACACACACACACCAAAACCCAAACCCACTCCCCTCTCTCTGTCTGTCTCGATGCAATTACAGAGCTCCACGAGAGCTCCACACAAATTGTTACTTTGGAAAACATTTTAAGCAGAATTGAATTTACTCGAAACTCTTGAAGGGGGCGCTCCTGAAAGGGGTTAGAGCCAAACAATTGGGGGTTGAGAAACTACGGAGCAAAACTACACAAATTTGGGGAGCAACACTCGCCCCACCATTAAATATTTTTGTCCAACAATTTAACCAATCGAAAGGCGCTCCTGCAGGCAGCTCTTCTGCGCGTGTGTGTGTGTGTGCCTGTGCCACCAGCAACAGTTTCGTAAAAATGGCTTATAAATTATTATATGCCACACAAAAGATGTAAAAGTATTTTGTACGCTCACTTTCCCACAGCCATAGAACAGAACAGAGTTTATAAATTGCCCATAAAAACCAGAAGGAGACGACACCAAAAAAAAACAACGAAAACTTTGCGACAAATTTGTGGATGAAAAAAAGATATCAGCACACTTAGAGAGGAGAGAGTTGATAGAATAAATGATGACCGTTGATATTGTAGGAGGAATAAAAGTAGAAACTGGGAGGAAGTCGCTTTGGGTGTTTGATGAGAAATATTTGAAGGATTCTGGAGATTAATTTAATGCATAAAAATGCTATAAATATTAGGAAAATTTGATAAAAAAGTACAAATAGTAGAATTATAGAAAATGCTCTAGAAACTATTAGAAAATATCAGAAAATTCTTTAAAAATGCTGAAAATGTACTAGACAAGAATAAATACAGTTTAAATATACCAAAAAAATGTACAAAAAATATCAAACATAAAATATGATTTAAATTATACAAAATAAGATCAAAAAGAGTTAAAAGAAGTGAGAAAAGTGCAATAATTATTATATTTATCATACAAATCCTCTTCCATTTCGAAACATACACACACCATAGCCTTATACACCCTAACCCACCATTGTAGTTCAACCAATGAGTATTCAATAATGTTGTAAAAGTTTAGCCCACAATTGTTGTCGGTTTGGCGTTTCGCTCCTTTCAATTCTCCACTTTATTTGTATAAAATAGATTTTGTCTAAATATTTATGCTTTCAGCTTTTGGAAGTTCACTTCCAGCCAGGAATTCCACTCCATTGGCGAAACGCCCGCCCGCCCTTCTGTCTGGTGAACCTCCTTTATGTGTGGGCCATGTATCGTGGTGGATGGGGTTTTTGTTTGGCTTTCATTTTGGCAAATTGATTTGTTCATTTTGCATATAAATATTCGATATAAATATTTGTTGGATGGATGTTTGAATGAAGATGGCTTACAATGGCTGGTTCCATTTAGTTGATTAATTGTCAATCAGAAACAATATTTGTCGTGTAAACCTTTTTGGGCAGAATTTAGAAATTTATTTATAATATATTTGGTTGATCCCGTGGAGGTTTTTGCCTCGCTGTTTTCTAACTTTTCTTTCTCTCCATTAGTGTCTCTCTTCCATCAGGCGTGCCTTCGTCAGGACTTTGCTTTTCACATTGGAAATAAATATTTGATAGCATTATGTATGTAGGCTACCCATTTGCTCACTTGCCGCTAACACAGAACAAAACACACACAATATGGTGGCCGCCGCCATTTTGGCATTTCACTAGTTTGCCATTTTTGCCATTCCGCCATATTTCATTTCCGTTTCCTCGTGTATTTGTGTTGCCCCTGCCCCATACCCGTTTCCTTTGTTTGTTTGTCATGTCGCTCTCTCTCTGGCAGTGCCACTGCCACTGCCACTGCCACTGCTGCCATCGCGTATTTTTCCGAAAACTCAATTATTTATGCATGTCACGTTATTTTCTGCCAAAAAGCGCAAAAAAAAGAAGAGAAGAAACCAAAAGAAAAGAAAAGCCATGCCACTGCATGAAAA